AAAAGGGACCTAAGGGGCAACATTTTCACACAGAGTGGTGCATGTATGGAATGAGCTGCCAGAGGAAGTGATGGAGGCTGGTACAATTACAGCATGTAAAAGGTATCTGGATGAGTATATGAATAGGAAGCGTTTGAGGGATATGGACCAAATACTGGCAAATGGGAGTAGATTTATCTGGGATATCTGGTCGGCATGGACAAGTTGGACCGAAGGGTCTGTTTCCATGCTGTACATCTCTATGACTCTATGATCTTATAGCTATGCCCTCTAGGTTTGAGCTCCCCTCCCCTGGAGAAAAGACCTTTGCCATTCGCCTTACCTATTCCCCTCACGATTTTATAAAGCTCGGTAAGGTCACTCCTCAACCTCCAATGCTCCAGTGAAAGAAGTCCCAGCCTATCCAGCCTCTCATTTATAACTCATACCCTCTAAGAATATTTGAAAAGTACAGTGTGATTTTGGAAAACAACCAACAGCCAACATAATGGGACTCTCAAAGTCTTCAATAGGTACAAAAATTGTGAAAGAAAGGTTAACAGTACTAGGACTGAAGAGGGACCAAACAGGGGATCTATACAGTAAACTTTCTACAATTCTGTGACATGTTCCAACAACCTAGTGCTCAGAATTTCCTGCCTTTTACAGCTCAATTACAATGTGGAAGTATTAGAACCAGATTGGGGAGGTGATGGCCTAGTGGTATTATCGCTAGACTGTTAATCCAGAGACCCAGATAGTGTTCTGGCAATTCAGGTTTGAATCCCACCACGGCAGATAGTGGAATGTGAATTCAACAGAGAGAGTCTGGAATAAAAACAGTCTAATGATGGCCATGAAATCGTTGTCAATTGTTGGAAAAACCCATCTGGTTCACTAATGCCCTTTAAGGAAGGAAACTGCCATCTTTATCTGGTTTGGCCTACATATGACTTTGGACCCACAACAATGTGGTTGACTCTTAACTGCCTTCTAGGCAATTTGGGATGGGCAGTAAATGTTAGCCTAGCCAGAGACGTCCACATCCCATGAGTGAATTAAAAAAAAGACGAAACAAATGTAATTGTACCTTCAAATCACTAGCTGCCCTTTCAACTTTAACCCCTTCCTCCCCCCACTCCAACTCCACTTCCACATTTATCATTGCTCTGTTTTACTGGTGCCCACGTACTGAGGGCAAGCCTGAAGACCCAGGAGTATCTCTTCCCATGCCAACACTTCGGTGGGCAGGGAGGTGGATAAACATGTATGGGAGCAAGATTAAAACAAAATGGCTAAAGACACCAACCCAGTAGATACAACAGCAGCCCCCCACATCCCGAAACAGTGTATGCACAAAGCACGGGTGCTTCCAGGGTGGGAGCTGTGTAATTAATAAGAGCGATTGTCCAAAGCCGTCACTGCTCATCTCTAACCTTCCTCACTCAAATCTTCTGCCTCACTGACTGATTGTGACGGCTACAGCTGGCAAAGTGGTACAGGATCTCTCTGACCTTGGTCTAGGCCCGAAACGTCAGCCTTCCTGCTCCTCTGACGCTGCTTGGCCTGCTGTGTTCATCCAGCTCTACACCTTTGTTATCTCAGAAGTCCCACTCTCCTGTCTTTTAGTGGAACCATTCACGTGTTTGGGGAGAGCCTCAGGGTTAAGCTGGCCTGTGATTATTCACGTTTCGGCAGGAAGCCTGTGAGAGGTCAGTGACCGATGCCCCCGCTGGGTAACATGCAAAATAAGGGATGAAGGAAACAGAATCTGCAGTCTCCCCCTGCTGTATTAAACACTGTACCACTCACTAAAGTCCCCAGGAAATCTGCATGCAACTCCCTCTGCTGGTAAGTAATATAAAACTTTCCAATGCAACAGATACTAGAAAACACAGGAAAATGAGCCAGCGTCATATAGTCTTGCCCCTGGGTTTTTCATACCTTCATAAAGGGTAACCAAATGTTACAGGGGTTTGCACTGTGGTGTTATTACAGAATCAGAGCAGGCCTTTAACTGTTACCTGTGCCCAGGAAGTGACAGAAAGAGAGGTAAGTCAGTAATTAACCAAAAATTATAGATATTTTGATTCAACCTGTTCAGAAGCATTATGATGCACACCCTGAGCAAGTGGGACTTGAATCCCGGCCTCCTGACTCAGACATAGAGACTCTAGCTTGAATGGAAACCAGTCGCTAGTCTATCAGAGCACAAACAGGAGTTGAATTATATTAGCCTGAACTACACACAAACCATCTATCCAACAGAGCTAACCTGCTCACCCTCTTTACCCCCAAACCTGACAAAAAGGAACAAGATGGGAAACAATTATCCACCTTTGTGTTAAATGGGATAGATTCACATCACATCTGGCAGTTCAAAGCTGAACTTGAGGCGATGTACACCATCAGATTTATATTCAACTACAATCGGTCAACCTCATTGCCTAGACCATCAAGTAATATAACTTTCCAATACAACAGATACTGAGGAAACACTGAGGAAAATGAGCCAGCGTCGTATAATCTTGCCCCTGAGTTTTTCATACCTTTACCACCATTAAGGTAGGGGAGCCATTCTGGTTCCCTGATGAGTATTTGGACAGCCTTCCAGGAGCAGTATTAGGCACTTCAGGTACGTACCAGGTCCACATGCAACATTTACTGACAGGGCTAAGGGATCCCACAACCAACTGATTAGAACAAATGCTTTGCAGTTACGTGGTACTCTGTCACAAATTGCAGCAGATTGTTAAACAACTAACCAGAGGAGGCAGCGCCACAAGATATCCTCAGTGATGGGATCAGTGCAAATTATAAGGCTGAAGCATTTGTAGCCATCATCAGCCAGAAGTGTCAAGTGAATGATCCATATCAGCCTTTGAGGTCCCCAGCAACTTATTTGCCAGTCTACAGTCAATTTGATTCATTCCACGTGATCCCAAGAAATGGTTGAAGGCTCCGTACACTGAAGTCTTTGGGTCCTGACAACATTCCTGCTGTAGTACTGAAGATTTGTGAACCAGAATTAACCACAAACTAGCTTTGCTGTCCCAGTATAGCTAAGAAACTGGCACTTCCCTGACAATGTGGAAAATTGTCTATGTATATGCAATCCACAAAAAGCAGAACAAACCCAATCAGACTATTTACCACCCCATCAGTCTACACTCAATCTATATAAAGCAATGGAAACAGTCAGAATGACCAAATGGTAATTACCAATAACCTCTTCACTGATGCTCAGTTTGGGTTCCAGCAGGCCACTCAGCTCCAGACTTGTTAGGGGTGGCAGAGGGGGTAAATGGGGAAAATGGAGAAAATGGAATTGGGACCACCACCAGATCAACCATGATCATATCGAACAGCAGAGCAAACTCAAAAAAGGGCCAAGGAGCCTATTGCTGTTCTTACATTCACAATCTTCCTATTCTATATACTCTGGCATACCCAATGCTAGCTCACTTACAGGCATGGCACACTGCACAGGGCATATCATAAAAGAGCTGGAAGTTAATCAGTCATCATTTGAGTCTCTGGGCTCTTGCACTGCCAGCACCAGCAGAACTATAGAATCAACTCTGCTATTGGGTGTCCAAGAGAAAATTTACCTATTGTTCTCAAAGCCTATATGTTGAGCCCTGGGCAAAACACAGTGATTGATAGGGAATGTTGCTCACTGCTGCACATTTAAAGCACTCAACTGCCTACACTTTGGTCTTCTACATTACCTCTGCAGCCATCAATTTACGCTGATATCTGCAGGTTTCCACCACAGTACGGGCAAACTACCATGAAACTATTATATCCACCTGAAATAATACAAACTATGGTGAGAATGTGCAAATTTAAATGAGTGCAAACTGCTTCAAGTCATTCCAGATTGATTTTTTAAAATGACTTTAATAGCTACAATTAGTTGCATTTATACACCATCCCAGGGCACTTTAAAATTCACACCCACCACCAGAAAGAACCAGAGAACAGGAACTAAACATTACCAATATACAAAACTACATTTACATTCAAAATTATGGCTTGGAATTTCCATCCCGCATTGCGATACACCCTCCAGCTCCCCCATCACAATGGCAATTCAGCCAAATCAGAGAAAATGGGGCAAAATAAAAATTGCAGAATGTCAAACACTGCAAATCAAGTTTCCATGATCTTGTGCCAGTTTAAAAAGCATGATGCTGAAAGCTATCCTGTCCACAAAGTCTTATTGAATTAATCACCAGTAGGAGTTCCTGCTGACCGTTAATGTTTCATGAGCTTTCCAAGAGACTCATAAATGAGGCACACTATCATTCTGTTTTTTTAAAAATTCAAAACCTTTTCACGTTCCTTAAGAAACTGATTATTAGTCTCTTGGTAATACAGCACTTGAGTATTGTTCAATTAAAAAGGACATGCTGCTGAAACTTCTGGAGTTACAAATGCAAGAACATCTAATTCCAGAGAGAACAGGTGTTTATACTGTATGAGGAAAACTATATGTTGATTAGTTGAGGGATTGCTTTTGAGATTGCACCAGGAAGCAGTTTTCCCCAAGCTTTTGTTTAAATTAAGAAAAGGTTTGTTGCTCACACAAACTCAAATCGGTCCAAAGCTACTATTGTCCAGTCTGAAAACTGCAGTGTATCTCAAATTACACTACAACGGCAAGGTGTCTCAAAACTTTGACTAACAGGCGAAGCCAGCAGCAACACGAGTGATATTCTCCACACACAGGATGTTGCTATCAAGCAAGTTTTATCTATTCCACAACCTCTTCGATCTAGAAGGTCAAATTCTTCTCCAAGCCGCTTACCACCATGACTCGAAAATACATCACTGCTTCTTCAGTGTCACTAGGTCAAACTCCTGGAACACCCTGCTTAGTGGATTTTTGTTTCTACCCAAACTAAATGGATTGCAGCTGTCCAAGACTTGGCATGCACCGCCTGGGAGAGCTTTTGGGGATGGGTAACCTCACTATCTTTAAAAAAGTACTCGGATGAACACTTGAAATAGCATACCTTTCAAGGCTATGAGCCGAATGCTGTAAAAAGTGCGACTAGCACAAATTTACCACCAAAGGGCCTCTTCTGTACTATATGATTCTAAGAAGGCAGCTCAGCACCAGCTTCTCAAGGATAATTAGGGATGGACAATAAATGCCGGTCGAGGCAGCAACACCCGCATCCCCTGAAAGAAGAGAAACAAAATGCATAATTAATGTGGAAATGAACTTCAGGGATGTAAGCCATACAAAGAACAAAGAAAATTACAGCACAGGAACAGGCCCTTCAGCCCTCCACGCCTGCACTGATCCAGATCCTCTATCTAAACCTGTTGCCTGTTTTCCAAGGATCTGTATCCCTCTGCTCCCTGCCCATTCATTTATCTGTCTAGATACATCTTAAATGATGCTATCATGCCCGCCTCTAACACCTCCACTGGTAATGCGTTCCAGGCACCCACTCACCCTCTGCATAAAGAACTTTCCACGCATATCTCCCTTAAACTTTTTCCCTCTCACCTTGAAATCGTGACCCCTAGTAAATGACTCCCCCACTCTGGGGAAAAGCTTCTTGCTATCCACCCTGTCTATACCTCTCATGATTTTGTAGACCTCAATCAGGTCCCCCCTCAATCTCCATCTTTCTACTGTAAATAATCCTAATCTACTCAACCTCTCTTCATAGCTAGTGCCCTCCATACCAGGCAACATCCTGGTGAACCTCCTCTGCACCCTCTCCAAAGCATCCGCATCCTTTTGGTAATGTGGCGACCAGAACTGTACGCAGTATTCCAAATGTAGTCGAACCAAAGTCCTATACAACTGCAACATGACCTGCCAACTCTTGTACTCAATACCCCGTCCGATGAATGAAAGCATGCCGTATGCCTTCTTGACCACTCTATCGACCTGCATTGCCACCTTCAGGGTGCAATGGACCTGAACACCCAGATCTCTCTGTGTATCAATTTTCCCCAGGGGTTTCCCATTTACCACATTGTTTGCTCTTGAATTGGATCTTCCAAAATGCATCGCCTCGCATTTGCCTGGATTGAACACCATCTGCCATTTCTCCGCCCAACTCTCCAATCTATCTATCTATATTCTGCTGCATTCTCCGACAGTCCCCTTCACTATCTGCTACTCCACCAATCTTAGTGTCATCTGCAAACTTGCTAATCAGACCATCTATACCTTCCTCCAGATCGTTTATGTATATCACAAACAACAGTGGTCCCAACACGGATCCCTGTGGAACACCACTGGTCACAGTTCTCCATTTTGAGAAACTCCCTTCCACTACAACTCTGTGTCTCCTGTTGCCCAGCCAGTTCTCTATCCATCTAGCTAGTACGCCCTGGACCCCATGCGACTTCACTTTCTCCATCAGCCTACCATGGGGAACCTTATCAAACGCCTTACTGAAGTCCATGAATATGACATCTACAGCCCTTCCCTCATCTATCAACTTTGTCACTTCCTCAAAGAATTCTTTCAAGTTAGTAAGACATGACCTTCCCTGCACAAAACCATGCTGCCTAATAAGCCCATTTTCTTCCAAATGTAAATGGATCCTATACCTCAGTATCTTCTCCAGTAGCTTCCCCACCACTGACGTCAGGCTCACTGGTCCATAATTACCTAGATTATCCTTGCCACCCTTCTTAAACAAGGGAACAACATTAGCAATTCTCCAGTCCTCCGGGACCTCACTCGTGCTCAAGGATGCTGCAAAGGTATCTGTTAAGGCCCCAGCTATTTCCTCTCTCGCCTCCCTCAGTAACCTGGGATAGATCCCATCCGGACCTGGGGACATGTCCACCCTAATGCCTTTTAGTATACCCAACACTTCCCCCCCCACCCCCACCTCTTATGCTGACTTGACCTAGAGTAATCAAACATCTATCCCTAACCTCAACATCCGTCATGTCCCTCTCCTCAGTGAATACCGATGTAAAGTACTCATTAAGAATCTCACTCATCTTCTCTGACTCCTCGCATAACTTCCCTCCTTTGTCCTTGAGTGGGCCAACCCTTTCTCTAGTTACCCTCTTGCTCCTTATGTATGAATAAAAGGCTTTAGGATTTTCCTTAACCCTGTTTGCTAAAGATATTTCATGACCCCTTTTAGCCCTCTTAATTCCTCGTTTCAGATTGGTCCTACTTTCCCGATATTCTTCCAAAGCTCTGTCTGTTTTCAGTCACCTAGACCTTATGTATGCTTCCTTTTTCCTCTTTGCTAGTCTCACAGTTTCACCTGTCATCCATGGTTCCCTAATCTTGCCCTTTCTATCCCTCATTTTCACAGGGACATGTCTGTCCTGCACTCTAATCAACCTCTCTTTAAAATCCTCCCACATATCAAATATGGATTTACACTCAAACAGCTGTTCCCAATGCACATTCCCCAGCTCCTGCCAAATTTTGCTATAGTTGGCCTTCCCCCAATTCAGCACTCTTCCTTTAGGACCACTCTCGTCTTTGTCCATCAGTCTTCTAAAAAAACTTACGGAATTGTGATCACTATTCCCAAAGTAATCCCCTACTGAAACTTCAACCACCTGGCCGGGCACATTCCCCAACACCAGGTTCAGTATGGCCCCTTCCCGAGTTGGACTATTTACATACTGCTCTAGAAAACCCTCCTGGATGCTCCTTACAAATTCTGCTCCATCTAAACCTCTAACACTAAGTGAATCCCAGTCAATGTTGGGAAAATTAAAATCTCCCATCACCACCACCATGTTGCTCCTACATCTTTCCATAATCTGTCTACATATTTGTGCCTCTATCTCACATTCGGTGTTGGGAGGCCTGTAGTATAGCCCCAACATTTTACCGCACCCTTCCTATTTCTGAGCTCTGCCCATATTGCCTCACTGCTCGAGTCCTCCATAGTGCCCTCCTTCAGCACAGCTGTGATATCCTCTTTGACCAGTAATGCAATTCCTCCAATCCTTTTGCCTTCCTCTCTATCCCGCCTGAAGCATCTATACCCTGGTATATTTAGTTGCCAATCTTGCCCTTCTCTCAACCAAGTCTCAGTAATAGCAATAACATCATACTCCCAGGTACTAATCCAAGCCCTAAGTTCATCTGCCTTACCGACTACACTTCTCGCATTAAAACAAATGCACCTTAGACCACCTGTCCCTTTGCGTTCATCATCTGCTCTCTGCCTCCTCTTCCCCTTAGTCACACTGACTTCATTATCTAGTTCCTCACAGGCTTTAGTTACTACCTCTTTACTGTCCACTAATGTCCTCATTTGGTTCCCATCCCCCTGCCACATTAGTTTAAACCCTCCCCAACAGCATTAGCAAAAGCAGCCCCTAGGACATTGGTTCCAGTCCTGCCCAGGTGTAGACCGTCCGATTTGCAATAGTCCCACCTCCCCCAGACCCAGTCTCAATGTCCCAAAAATCTGAACCCCTCCCTCCTGCACCATCTCTCAAGCCACTCATTTATCCCGCCTATTCTTTCATTTCTACTCTGACTAGCATGTAGCACTGGTAGCAATCCTGAGATTACTACCTCTGGAGTCCTACTTTTTAAACTTGGCTCCTAACTCCCTAAATTCTGCTTGTAGGACCTCATCCCATTTTTTTTTACCTATAATCATTGGTGCCTATATGCACCACGACAGCTGGCTGTTCACCCTCCCCCTTCAGAATGTCCTGCAGTTGACCTGAGACATCCCTGACACTTGCACCTGGGAGGCAACATACCATTCGGGAGTCTCGTTTTCGACCACAGAACCACCTATCTACTCCCCTTACGACCGAATCCCCTGTGACTATAGCCCTTCCACTCTTTTTCCTGCCCTTCTGTACAGCAGAGCAAGCCATGGTGCCATGAACCTGGCTACTGCTGCCTTCCCTGGTGAGCCATCTCCCCCAACATATCCAAAACTGTATACCTGTTTTGGAAGGAGATGACTGCAGGGGACACCTGCACTGCCTTCCTGCTTTTTTTCTGCCTTTTGGTCACCCATTCCCTTTCTCCCTCAGCAATCCTAATCTGCAGTGTGACCAATTTGCTGAACGTGCTATCCATGACTTCCTTAGCATCACGAAGGCATACATCCCATGCCTTTGAAAGCTCACAACAGGAAAAATGTTGACTACACTCAAGTAGCCTATATGTACAAAGCTCAGAATCTAGTGTCCAAGATTACGTATGATTCCACAACAGAGCAGAGCTTACTAAAAAATTCTGAATGTCTAAAGAACTACACTCAAAACCAATTTAAGATTGTCGGTCAAGTCTACAATGTGGCTTATCTATATTAACTAGAAACTACGCAAATTCATTTACAGGGCCCTTTAAAACATTGTGTCTTTCTTAATTAAACAAAAGCTTTTTTTTTTAGGGTCTGTGCAGTGCGAGAAGGGAGCTTTGCTTTGAAAATTAAAGTCAGCTCGCCGACTCCCAAAGATTTTCTCATTGGAACAATAGTGTCAAAACATCAATATTTCGTATAAATTACAAATTACTTCTCATTAACACAAACAAGTTTGAGTACAAACACAGACCGAAATAAATTCTCTATGGTAAATAGAATGGTATTCTCAATTTACAATTAGAAATTGCCCATGTCCAAAAGAACAGGACTCTGGAGTTAAAACAGTGATAGATCATGTCCATCATGTACAGGAGCAGAGAAGTCTTGCTGAAATTATACAGGGCCTTGGTGAAATTGTACCTGGAGTATTGTGCGCAGTTATGGTCTCCTTATTGGAGGACAGATGTTCTTGAATAGAGGAAGTGTAGCGAAGGTTTACCATTCTGATTCTGGGATAGCAGGAATGACATTTGAAGAGTGGTTGAACCAGTTAGAATTATATTTGCTGGAGTTCAGAAGGATAGGGGGGGAAAGAGGGGAGTGGTGTTGTCTCATTCTAACTGGACTTGACAGGATAGATGCAGGAAGCCTGGTCCAATGGCAGCGGAGTCCAGAACCAGGGATCACAGTCTAAGGATACAGGGTAAACAATTTAGGACTGAGATGAGAAGAAATTTCTTCACCCAGATTGGTGAGCATATGGAATTTGCCACCTCAGAAAGCAGTTGAGGCCAAAACATTGCATGGTTTCAAGGAGGAGTTGGATAGAACACTTGTAGCTAAAGAGATCAGAAGATATAGGGGAAAGCAGGAAGAGGCTATTGAGTTGGACAATCAGCTGTGGTCATAACGAGTAACACAGCAAGCTCGAAGGGCCTATTACTGCTCCTAATTTCTACGTTTCTAGGTTTTTATCAGTAAAGCTCATTTCCGTGGTAACACGAGATTAGCAGCAATGCCCAGGTAGAGCTCTAACAATAGAAGCATTTATCAAATGTTTACAGAACATTTGGTGCTGCTATTCTCAAGGGTTCAATGTTACCCAGTGACATGAACAGATTGAAATGTTCAGCCCACTAGACACTTTAGTCACTGAAAAATAAGCATCCTGTATTTGCAAAATGATTTTACTTTTTTAAACGAGGAATAGGGGTAACCGGTGTTATTTCCAGCCAGTGTTAAGTAGGTTCACAAAATGTCTTAAACATTCAAGAATGCTGAGGTGCATGGGACCCAATAATGCTAAGTACTAACAGTATAAATTCCAGCACAATTAACACTTAAGATAGATCTCAAACTGTGGTTAGCAGACACAAATCCCAGAATAGCATAAATCCAGACCAGAAATCAATCTCAAAATATGGTGATTTCTTGCTCATGCTGGACCCTCCTGCTATCTCAATCCAGTTGATCATCAGTATCTTATAAATTTCAGGAGCAAGAAAATGGCTTACTCCTGCTCCAAAAGGTGTATACTCACATCTTGTCCCACTGCAAACTGCATCAATACACTACTCTATCTCACGAAAAATAGAGAGCATTGTACAATGGACATGGTCACCAGTTTCGGGAATTAGCTGAAATGAGCCCACCATGCAGTTGCCTGCTATACCATGCTCCAGTCAAGGATTTGATAGCCCTCTGGTGTTTTTCAGAGTGTATGAATGGACTGAAAACAAAGGTGCAGCATTGTTACATTTGAAGACCTTATTGGAGGTGGAGGTTTGTTGTCAGATCAGTAATTTATTTACAAAACACCTATAAATCCTTAGCAAACAAAAACAAACTTTCGAACAAATACTCATCCAGAATTATTGCAGTACCTTGTTCTCTTCCTATTGGCAGCTGGAAGACTTTATGGAACTCTGCATGTGAAATATATTTAAAAAAGCTACTGTCCAAAATGTAGTTCACATCAGAATTTCATTGAATCCACATTGCTGAAATGGGCCACTCAACCCAAATGGTATTTGTGAGATCTTATATTCCATGCAAGATTTCTTTATCTGCAATTATTTTTTCTGACCTTGCTCCCCTCTGCCTTTACTTCCTTCTCTCTCATGTATACAAGTCTCCTCTTAAAATTAATCATTGCTTTCTCCTTCAAACCAGAGTAAGCTCCACATTCCAAGTATTCTGTATTTTAAGAAAAAACATTCAGCTGAAATTCATCAGATGATTTTACACTCAGGGAGTAAACAGAGTCAAGTAGTTTGACTGGACAGCAAAGCTTACTGCAAACCCATACTAAATCGGGTAGTAGTTACGATATTTTGGAACTGCGTGCTATGATACATGTTACTGTTGAGAAAATGTTGAAAGCACATAAAACATTAAACATCATTAATGTCCTTCAGGGAAGGAAATCTGCCATCCTCACCTGGTCTGGCCTAAGTGTGACTCCAGACCCACAGCAATGTGTTTGACTCTCAACTACCCTCTGAAATGGCCGAGCAAGCCACTTAACTGTATCACTTGCTACAAAGTTTCAATAGAGAAATGAAACTAGATAGACCAGCTGGCATTGATCTAGACAGCAGAAATGACGATGGCAGAAACAGCCCTGTTGATCCTGCAAAGTCCTCCTTACTAACTTCTGAGAGCTAGTGCCAAAATCGGAAGAGCTGCCAAAAACATGCCAATCTTTACTAAAATGCTATTCACTTTTAATAAGGGTGCACTTTGTCTGTACAGGATATTGGGGGAAGGGGAGTTGAGACCATAATCAGATCATATATGATCTTAAAGAATGGCCAAGCAGGTAGGAGAGGCCGAAGACCTATTCCTGCTCCAAATTTGTATGTTTACATAGTGCACTGTCTCGCAGACTAGTCAAGCAATAGCCTAACAGCCACAGAATCATACCTTACAATGTCCCAGACACCACCATCACCAATCCTGGATATGTTCTATCTCACCAGCCAGACAGACCCAGCAGACATGGCGTCTCAGTGGTGTACAGTCAGGAGAAAGTTACCCTGGGAGTGCTCACAACATTGACTCTGGACCCTATGATGTCTCATGGCGTCAGATTAAATGTGGGCAAGGAAACCTCCTGATTACCATGTAGAGTCTTCCCTTGGCTGATGAACCGGTCCTCCATTTTGAACAACACTGGGAGGATGCACCGAGGGTGGCAAGGGCACAAAATTTCAATGTCAACCACGAAGAGTGGCTCAGTGGCATCACTACTAATTGAGCTCGTCAGGTACTATAGGACTGCACCTGCAGCTGTCAGATTGGTAAGGATACGGTCAAGTATACGTTTGTCTCGTTAGATCCCTTACCACCTGCTGCAGATGCATCTGTCCATATCAATAACCATGAGTGATCACCGCACAGTGGAGATGAAGCCCCACCTTCACATTGAGAATAACCTCCATCGTGTTGAGACACTATCACCATGCTAGATGGGGCAGACTTCTAACAGATCTTGCATCTCAAGACTGAGCATTCATGAGGCACTGTGGGCCATCAACAGCTGCATTCCAGCACAATCTGTAACCTCATGGCCCAGCATGTCTCCCACTCAACCGTTACCATCAAGCCAGGGGAGCAACCCTAGTTCGATGGAGTGTGCAGGAGGGCATGCCAAGAGCAGCACTAGGCATTCCTAAAAATGAGGTGTCAACCTGATGATGCTACCAAACAGGACTACTTGCATGCCAAACTTTTAGAATACTGCATTCAATTCTGGTCTCCCTGCGACAGGAAAGATGCTGTTAAACTTGAAAGGGTTCAGGAAAGGTTTACAAGGATGTTGCCAGGGACTGGGGGGTTTCAGCTGTAGGGAGAGGCTGAATTGGGTGGGGCTATTTTCCCCAGAGCATTAGAGACTGAGAGGTAACCTTGCAGACATTTATAAAATCATTAGGGGCATGGATAGGGTGAATAGACGAAGTCTTTTTCCCAGAGTAGCAGAGTCCAAAACTAGAAGGCGTAGGTTTAAGGCGAGAGGGGAAAGGGGCAACATTTTCCGTGCAGAGGGTGGTGAGTGTATGGAATGAGCTGCCAGGGGAAGCGATGATGATGGGTACAATTGCAACATTTAAAGGCATCTAGATGGGTACATGAATGAGAAGGGTTTAGAGGAATATGGGCCAAGTGCTGTCAAATGGGTCTAGGTCAGTTTAAGATACAGAGTCAGAATGGATCAGTTGGAATGAAGGGTCTGTTTCCATGCTGTATAACTCTTCGACTGACCTTGCTGATGTAAAAGAACTGTTAGATATAAGACATATCCAAAATAAAGTGGTTTGACAAGTCACCAGTTGTCAGAGTGGAGGAGGCACCTGTTTTTGTTAAACAAAAATATGAGAGATCCTCAAATAGGATTGTATAAGGATTTGTAAGAACATTAAAGTCAATTTTTTTTTTGAGTTGCTTTGTGATTAAACAGGATGGAATGTGAAAAATTGCACATCAAATATGAAAAGAGGTTACTGAATGATTGCAATAAGCTAAGATACAGAATATAAAAAAAACTTTCATTGTCATTGTTCAAGCATAATTTGGCTTCAAAAGTTTCATTTGAGGGTAATCTGTTCACATACAAAGTAGTTAGCAAATGACTGGGGTTAATTAACTGAGTTGGGATAAAAACGGGAAGAATGGTGGGAATGGTGCATGGTAAGAGCTGCAAGACTGAGTAGTTCATAAACTCCATCTGCAAAGAATGCCATCATGGTCTCTGTCTCACCGACTGGCTTGCAAGCAGATTGGCACAGACAAATCACCACTATCCAACATAGGAAATTCATGATGATCTGCTCAGACTTGACAATCAAGATTGCTGCAATTGAGCAGTTCCCTTCAGAAAGGGAAGGAAATAATGCATTCACATTCATCATACTTGTAAACAATTTCTCAACAGATCATGTGGATGGGAATATAACCTGTCAAGGTCAGCTGAGGGAAGAAAGAAGTGTACAAAGACATTGTAATTGTCCTACAAATATCCACAGTTATTTCTGGGAAATTTCACTGTTCAAATATAAAGCATTCTACAGGATCAGAACTAGGAGCTTCACCCTTCTGGGATCATTAACTAGGACAAAGCAGTTAGGGAAACATTATTAATAGCAACATGTGGGAAGAATAATCCATGATTCTTTTGAACAACCTGCCAACAACCGTACAAGACTCTCATAAGAAGGCACCTCAAGTGAGCATGTAAATATTTATGTTTGTGTGTATGAGTCTAAGTATGGAGGAGTGTGTGTGTGTGTGTGTGTGTTGGGGTTGGAATCAAGGAGCAGCTAACATTGAAAATACTCCACATAATCAGCTACTGCTTCCTTCAATGTTGCACTGTGCCTTTTTCTAATTGATTTGCATGTTCAGGAACCACGCAGACTCTATTTGTTTTTGTAAATTAATTCTAATTTTAATAAGGCTTAAACAATCCCAAAGAAACAAGTTTACAGTCAACCAGATGTCTGTCCAATAATTAGCTTCACAGTTACAGCTTCAGTTCCTGAACCCAAAATAATAAACTTTTAAATTTAAAAATCACTCCTCACCATATTCTGGTTGCCATGTGGCTAAAGCACCCGCTGAATGTTTCATGAATAAAAACCACAAGATGCCAGCTTTCTTATTCCACATTCCTTGATCACATCTTTTAGGCCTCCTGTGATAAATGAAGCTTGTTGTAGTGGAACAGTAGCAGCACCACTTAAATACAGATCAAGGAAGATTACAACTGCAAGAACGTGAAAATACTCAGTAATGAAATAGATAAGTTTTCATGAAAAATTAAAGAATATAGTTCTTTGCAGCCTACATCAGATTAAAAATTCATCCATTGACTAATTCTAATAGTTGAGTAGAGCTATTAGCTTCTTTTCCTCAACCCCTTGCAACCTCCTCCAATTTTCTTCAGGCTTATAAATTAAAGACAATCCTGGGTTGGAGTCTTATAACAACTCAAAACATCTCAAGGCTTGTGACCTGACTTACTTGCATTACATGGTGTTTTAAGCCATTCCACACACAATATCCAGTTTACCCTTAAGAAGCAAAACGAGAACTTTTTCGGGTCTTTGAAAACAAGACCACCCACATACTGAAGGTCTTAGTGCAAAACAGTAATGCAAATTTTCATGGCTGTGCATAAGAGTTCAATCATTGAAGTAGTAAACAGAATTGAACTAAACTTGGAGGAAAACTAGCTAGCCTTATTCTAAGTAAATTGTTTAACTATTAAATACTGTAGAAAACCCAGTCTAAATGTCTGCCTTATGCTCTCAGCATAGGTTTTTGAGACACAATAATTCCTGGTCTTCAAAATTTACGCATCAACTTGATGGATGAAGACATTGTAAATATAAAGTCAGGCAATCTCTCCTATCTTTCACCATTCTGACGTCTCTGCAGCATAGTAATAACGTTATCAATATCTTCTTCAGGCACCTAAGGGATAGAAAGAAAATAATAAGTAGATTAATCTGGCTAAACCAAAGAAACAAATGTTAATTGTTTTTATAAAGACATCTTCACAAACAAAAACTCACACCATGATTATTCCTCACCTATTATGCTGCCTACTTCACACCAATGTAAAAGGTAAGTGCTTGCAATCAGAAATGTGTAGTTTTTTTTGAGAGTCCTAGAGCTATACACCTTGGAAATAGACCCTTTGGTCCAACTCGTCCATGCCAACCAGATATCCTAAATTAATCTAGTCCCATTTGCCAGCATTTGGCCCACATCCTTCTAAACCCTTCCTATTCATATATCCATCTCAAATGCCTTTTAAAATGTTGTAATCTTACCAGCTTCCAACACTTCCTCTGGCAGCCCATTCCATATACACACGACCCTCTGAGAAAAGGTTGCCCCTTAGGTCCCTTTTAAATCTTTCCCTTCTCACCTTAAACCTATGCCCTCTAGTTTTGGGCTCCCCCACCCTGGGGAAAGGGCCTTGTCTATTTTTTTTTAAATTCATTCACGGGATGAGGATGTCGCTGGCCAGGCAGCATTTATTGCCCATTCCTAATTGCCCAGAGGGCAATTAAGAGTCAACCACATTGCTGTGGGTCTGGAGTCACGTGTAGGCTAGACCAGGTAAGGATGGCAGTTTCCTTCTCTAAAGGACATTAGTGAACCAAATGAGTTTTTCCGATAATCAACAATGGATTCACAGTCATCATTAGTTTCCTAATTCCAGATATTTTTGGAATTCAAATTCCACTATCTGCCATGGCAGGATTTGAATCCAGGTCCCCAGAACATTATCTGGGTCTCTGGATTAACAGTCCAGTGACAATACCACTAGGGCATTGCCTCCCCCTCTATCCATACCCCTCATGATTTTATAAACCTCTAAAGGTCACCCCTCAGCCTGTGACATTCCAAGGAAAATAGTCCCAGCCTATTCAGCCTCTTCCAAAAGCCCAAACCCTCCAAGCCCGGCACCATCATTGTAAACCTTTTCTGAACACTTAAGTTTCATAGCATCCTTCCTATAGCAGGGATATCAGAACTGCACTCAGTATTCCAAACGTGCCCTCAACCAACGTCCTGTACAGTTGCAACATAACCTCCCAACTCTTGTACTCAATGCACTGGCCAGTAAAGGCAAGCATACCTGCGATACTATCCTGTCTACCTGGGACTCCACTTTAGAGGAACTACGAACCGGCACCCCAAGGTCTCTTTGTTCAGCAACACTCCCCAGGATCTTACCATTAAGTGTACAATCCTGCTCTGAATTGCCTTTCCAAAATTCAGCGTCTCATTTATCTAAATTAAACTCCATCTGCCACTTCTTGGCCCATCAGCCCGTTTGATCAAGATCTTGTTGTACTCGGAGGTA